GAAAGCAAAAATCACTTTATATAGGATTGCACTTTGAAATGGTGTAATGATGTGTAACATAGATGCTCTCTCCACGTGCGAGCCCGGGGGGGTGCAAATCACGGACCGAAATGGGCTTCGGACCTTGAACTCATATACGAGCGCTACCTGTTCACACGAATGTCGGACCGAACTGACCAAAAATTGGCCCCTCTGGCGGGTCTACGTTTTGGATTTTGTTTTTGTTTTCTAGAATCAACTTTTGAGTTTTTGAAACTCCAAAACGTCTGAAACTCCCTTAGCTATTACAAGTGAATTATGGAGACTTTGGGAGTTAAAAGTCTACATAAGAGAACATTTTTCCTCCAGTTCAAACACAAAATTTCCTCATGTTCTGCATACTGTCGAAACTCCAGTTCTAGATTCTACTTCTGTCTGTCATGCATACTGTTTTCCTTCAAAACCTTGTTTCGATTTTCTTGTAGTGATATTGTTCGAACACTAACTCAGTTCGTCGGAGTAAAACTATTGTGTTCAAATTTTACTGGTTAAATATTGTATCCTGGAAAGCAGACGCTCAAATTATACCTCAAGCACGAACGGTGAGGGGGCGAATATGTTTTAAGAAAACTGTGTTCGCACAAGCCTCGGTTTGGGAACTTTTTCTTCTTGCAATTTTTATTTCTTATTTTGTTATTTTACTGCAGTTAACGAATTATTTTCCTTGTTTCCTAGTAGTTTATCCACTTAAATATTACAGCGGGTGGCTCGTCTTAAGTTGTAAAATAACATAGATATGAGGCTTTGCAAATGCTTACATGTCGAAAAAGAACATCCAAGTTACATTACATGCAAAACGACTTGGCCTAATGGTTATATAGGTTTATTTTAACCGCCGGGTGCTCTGTTCTCCTCAAGTTGTAGAGGCAAACCATATCTACTTCAATATCCTCTTTAATTAAATCCACTAGTTGGTTATAAGTAGATATAGGAAATGGTGAAGGCGTAGGAAGAGGTTACTGGAATCTAGTGGCGCACTCCCTTTGCAGCAACCTCAACAATCCTTTTTTCTCGTCTAATTGTAGGTGTTGAGCTTTGTTTCCTATTTCTAGGCATGTCAAACAGCGTCACGTCTTTGTTCTGCCACTTTCAAGGTGGATGAGGTTGAATATTGGGAGTGTTGTCGATTTTTATATCCTGCAAGTGTACGGATCGTAACAAGTAATATGGTAGACCAATGAGTCTGGGTATTGTTCCCACAATGACTACAATCTAATAATTGGTTAAATTATTCATAACTTTAATTTGATCGAAAACAAATATTAAGGTTTATGATTGGTGTTTAAATTATTTCAACTAAATTAAATTAAACTAATATACACAATTTATCGAATTTGGATTTTAAAAGTATGAATGTAGATGCTAGGACTTACAGTTTTACTTATGGATCCCCTTTAATCCGCCAATCAAAATTCATTACTATTGTAGTGTTCGATAGATTTTTTCTAAAGTATTTAATTTACCTTCCTAGAGTTTACATTGAATATATTTAATTAATTCAATTACATATCTCTATATGAATTAATATTAGTTAAACGAAGTATTAGTTCTAAGAATTCATCTAATGATCGCAATAATTAATATATGTATCTCTACACATTATACTAAATTACCGGAATTTACTTGTCGTCTCAATCTAAAAACTCATCTCTTGATTTGTAATAGATTCATTGAATCATTAAATAATTGGCCAAAAAACTCAAACCATTAAATTCAAGAATAAAATCAAAACAAATGCATTTAGGGTCCATTTGATTACAAGAATGGAAAATGGGTAGAAAGAAAACGAATTTCAGGAAAAATAATTGTCTAGAACTTGTTTTATTGGGAATTGTCAATTAATTATGTTTAATTGATATAATTTTTTACTTATAAAATGTTGAAATTTTGGATCTTTTGGTATTTGTTTGACTTTGTTTTCCATGAAAATTGTCCATTAAAGGGAAAAAAAAATTTACAATTAGGGATAGAATTTGTTTCCATTGCCCAAAAAAAAACTGAAAAACAATTTCACACCAAAACNCCATGAAAATTGTTCATTAAAAGAAAAAAATTTTACAATTTGAGATAAAATTTATTTCCATTGCCAAAAAAAAAAAGGCTGGAAAACAATTTTCCGACCAAAGTGGTGGGAAAACAAATTCAATAAAAACCTGAAAAAATGAGTTACGTGGGGGGTTGGGGAGAAAATATTTTGCCAAGAAAAATTTGACCATCAAATAAGAAAAAAGCAAGTTCCATGGAAAATAGTAAAGATCAAACAGGGCCTTAAAGAACTAGAATTTTTAATAAAATAAAATATAGGGTCACAAATAGATTACATTGTTCGCTCTAGTTATGAATTTAGGTACTTATAATAATGAAAGAAAAACAAAAAGTATAGAGTTCATAACCGGGTTTTGAAATCTTGATTATGGAAAGAATTGGATCTTACACCAAGAATCTTCTTCAACCTCAAAAGTTTTCAAACCCTATTTTTTGCCATTTGATCTTGATGATGATGTGTTTTTTCTCCCAAATTGTGCGAAACTCCTTCAAAAGTGCCAACAACTTATATTTATACTCTTACCTACGTTTGTGACAAATATAAGGTTTTATGAGCTTCAAAACAAGTCAAAACGCGCCCTAGATACACTAGACGCCGCTACTCTGTATTACACAAATTGGTGGCACCTCGACGACCCGGCACCACCTTTCAAGTAAAACTTTACACTTCATTTCTTTTTGTATTTTTATCATAACTTTCTCCCCCGATATTCAATTGAGACGATTGAAATTGGATTGTAAAGATAACCAAAAGGGCTACAATTTTACTGAAATGACATTTTTCCAGTTCAAACGTTTACTAGGTCAAAACGTGTCTCAAGGTCGAGCTAAAAATCTAGAACATATTTGTGCAGTTGAAAATTGATTTGTGTCCATATTTTGATCATATTTAACCTTTTTTTTTTTTTTTTACTTCTAATTGCATTCAATTAACCTATAGCATTCTCGAATCTTTATTATGAGGTTCGACAAAGCTTTTGAGTATTTACACTTTGATCCCTAAACTTTGGATCTTGCCTTTTTCACCAATGTTCGCATATTTGTTTCAATTCCACTTCCTTTCATCGAGTTTCGCCTAATAAACGAAATATACACAAATTAGACTATAATTGTTCCAAAAAAAAAAACACTATTAAATGTTCATATTTTTAGGTCCAAATAAGTGTATAAAATA